CTCATTTGCAACATTATGCAGATAACACAAATTCTCCTATGTCTCTGTTTTCCCTTTTGTAATAATTATTATCTCTCCACAGCAAGTAGTCCTGAGATTTAGAGACTGATTATTTCAACATTCAAGCTGCTCCCTAAGTTTAAGTGATCAACTCTGGAAGCTATGATAATTTTCTTGGTCAAGTATGCAAGCACTCCAAAAGTTATGATCAGTATGATTGTATTGAACAGACCTGGAAATCGATTTCAAACTAACAAAGTCCATGCTTAATAAAACTTCCATGCTGATAGATTTCTTGTTAGTGCTGTTGTTGTTTTCCTCCCGTAGTCCTTCATAATTTTTGAAATTATTGGTTCATGGCAGTTTTTTACTTTTAGAGACATCTCATCGATTTTTTTTTTCTCTACATCCTTGGCTGTTGTTTAAATTTTTATGAATTTTTTTCCTGGTCTGTGTAGTGCATTGTTATAGAAGCTATTTTTACAAATTTGTCAAAGTAATTCCCAGAATTCCCTGGAGACCTAAGGATAGTGGTTGTAGACTCTGAAATATACCATTGACTTTGCGTGTCACCCTGGCTTCCTCAAGCTATTCATCTGAAAGTATTCCTGATAGCAATTTTCAGTATTAGATTAATCATGGGTAGCAGAGAGCTCATTTTTGCTAGCTTTCAGAATCATTTTTCTCTTGGCAATTTTGAAAGTTAACCAGGGATAAAATACTCCCATATCAAACCTCCTGCTGTCAGTTCTCTCTCCCTGCTATTTGATGGTTCTGTTTTTAAAATACCTGCATTGAAAAGGATCTGACTTGGAAGTTACTTTAAATCTCCCTGGCATCCCTGGAGCATATTCTACTCCTTGTTTATTAACATCTTTAAAGGTGGGGGAGGTAACTCACACCTGCAATCCCAGTACTCTGGGAGGCAGGGGAGGGTAGATTACTTGAGCTTAGTAGCTTGAGACCAACCTGAGCAAGACAGTGAGACCCCCATCTCTAAAAATAGCCTGGGCATTGTGGCAGGCACCTGTAATCCCAGCTAGGAGGCTGATGCAGGAGGTTCGCTTGAGCCCAAGAGTTTGAGATTACAGGGAAAGAAGGAAGGAAGGAAGGAAGGAAGGAAGGGAGGGAGGGAGGGAGGGAGGGAGGGAGGGAATGAATTATCCCTAGAATATTTGAATTGTAAGATCTTCACAATGCCTTGAGTTTTCCCATTTTGTCTAAGTATTTTTAGGTTGCCTAGCTCTCAGAAATACTGTCTTCTAAAAGACAAATTAATATACTCCTTAAGGATTTTCTAGGCTATCCAAGAGGCAGTTGATGGGTTGTTTTAAAAGAAGCATTTGCGCATGCACGGAACTCTGCACGGCGTCATCGTATCATCTGTTGGTCCCCGTAAAGATAGTCCCTTAGTGAACACCTTCATTTTTGCCCCTCTCAAGAAGGTTGGCTAATCAGGTTGACCTGAAACTTGAGCGCTCTGTATCGTATCTCAGTAACTATTAGTGAAATTTAATACAGCGGCAGATGAGAAATAAACTTCTGGATTTTCTGGTTGAGGTGCCTAAAGTCTTGTCCTTCCACAGAGCTGTACGCTTTTGTCAATCACATTGAAGGAATCAGTCTCAAAAGAGAGACAAGAAATACCTCCTGGGTGCTGAATATTCAGGTTCATGAGGGTGAACAGGGGTTGCTGAGCTTCTGGTTTACAAACATGCATACTTGAATATTGTTTTTTTTTTTGTTTTTGTTGTTGGGTTTTTTGTTTAGTTTTGGTTTTGTTTTTGAGACAGAGTCTCACTCTACAGCCTTGGATAGAGTGCTGTGGCTTCAAAGCTCACAGCAACCTCAAACTCCTGAGCTTAAGAGATCCTCCTGGCTCAGCCTCCCCAGTGGCTGGGACTACAGGTGCCCACCACTATGCCCGGCTAGTTTTCTGTTTTTAGTAGAGATGGAGTTTCATTGTTGCTCAGGCTGGTCTGAAACTCCTGAGCTCAAGCCATCCACCTGCCTCCACCTCTCAGAGTGCTGGATTACAACTGTGAGCCATCAGGCGCAGCCCATACTTGTGTATTGAACAGTTTAGGTGCTTACTGGATCAAACATTTACTTAATATTTATCACATTCTTGCAGTATAAAATAGACTGTAAATTGTCAAAGATTTGTCAAAATGCAAGACATCATGCTAAGTTTGTGTAAAATATGGCTTCTACTTTGAAAGCCATTGCTTTCTATGAAGGCACTTCAAAGCTTTTGTTCCTTTTATTTTCAGATAAAAATAAGACATGAAGTACAAAGGCAGAAGGGTAGGGATGTATTTATACAGCAGAAAAAACTGTTCAACAGAAACATAAAAGTTAGTTGGTAGATGGTAACTGGGACATCAGCAGTCATGAGAATTGGGCTGGATGCAGTGGCTCCCACCTGTAATCCCAGCACTCTGAGGCTGAAGGGAGTGGATCACTTGAGCTCCGGAGTTCAAGACTAGCCTGAGCAAGAGCATGACCCTGTCTCTACTGAAAAAAGAAAAACTAGCCAGGCATTGTGTCAGGTGTCTGTAGTCCCAACTACTGGGGAAGCTGAGGGAAGAGGATCGATTAAGCCCAGGAGTTTGAGGTTGCTGGGAGCTATGATGATGCTATGACACTCCACCCAGAGTGACGGAGTAAGTAAGACTCTGTCTCTAAATGAATGAAAGAATGAGTAAATAAATAAATAAAATTTCTCCATGCACTATTATTCTGGTTGCTTAGAATCTTGGATATCTGTGAAAATGGATTCATTGTTGATCTGGAGTTTCACAGAGCAGAGCATGGAATAGATGACCTGGTAGTGTGTATAATTATGATTAAATTATTTAATTACTCCTGTTTGGTGAAGTTCATTAAAGAAGTACCTGTTCCCCTCCTGCCTCTCACAGCACACACCCTCCAGTGCCGGAGCTCTCAGCCACCTACCTGACAGGCCACCTCTGCACAGTCCGGGGCTTCAATTTTTCTCCAAACATTTGTGAAATAGGATTAATTCAGAGCAAATTAAACTAATGATTCAATTAATGTAATTACTTGGACAGTAATAAAACATAATTACTATAAAATAGATGGAGCAGGGGATGAAACCCATGAAAGCAATTCATGATATCATTTGTGACTTTACTTTTTAAGCTCTTTTGATAATAAATCTATGTTAGAATAGTTTGTTGTCATGACAGCCTTGGTAAAAAATGATCATTGATTTGTAACTGAATTGCATATGCTATAGGTGTTTTTAAAGTATTAAACATTTTGAGTTAGAATTTTATTAAAATATGCCCACTTAGAAATTTAAGTATTTCGTTGGTAATTCAAAGTGATCTAGGGGATAAATAGGTTTGCCCTGTAACTTTAATTTGAACTCATAGAACCAATTTTTTTTTTTTTTGAGACAGAGTCTCACTATGTCACCCTGGGTAGAATGCTGTGGTATCACAGCTCACAGGAACCTCCAACTCTTGGGCTTAAGCGATTCTCTTGCCTCAGCCTCCCAAGTAGCTGGGACTACAGGTGCCTGCCACAATGCCCAGCTATTTTTTTGTTGCATGTTGTTGCAGATGTTTAGCTGGCCCGGGCCGGGTTCAAACCTGCCACCCCGGTGTATGTGCCTGGCACTGTAATCACCAAGCCTCATAGAGCCAATTTTTAAAGAATTCACTTTTAGCCAGGTGTGATGGCTCACACCTGTAATCCCAGCGCTCTGGGAGGCCAAGCCGGGTGGATTGCTTGAGCTCAGTAGTTTGAGACCAGCCTGAACAGGAGTGAGACCTCAGTTCTTAAAAAATACCAAGGTGCAGTGGCAGGCACCTGTAATCCCAGTTATTCAGGAGGCTGAGGCAAGGGAATCCCTTGATCCCAGGAGTTTGTGATCCCATGGCATTCTACCCAAGGTGACAGAAAAAAAAATTCACTTTTATGACAATTTATCTGAAATTCCTATCTAAGTGGCACAAATTTTACTTTTATTCTATCATGACTGCTATTTAGTAATAAAATTAATTAAATAGAAACTTCAAGGATGAAGACTATTTTATTTCAAATGTTGGAAGGTAACAATTCATCAAGCATATAAGCAAAAGTCACTGTCCTGGGTACTATACTATCTGGGATACAGATAAGAGGAAAAATATATTGAGAAATACAGGAGGCAGCCAGGTTTATGGACAGTAGAATAGAAGGTGAAATTGCTATGTTTCCCAGGCTGATCTTGAACTCCTAGCCTCAAACAATTCTGCCACAGCGTCTAAAAGTGCTAAGATTACAGGTATGAGCCTCATGCCTGGTCTATATTAATTCAGAAAATCATCATGTACTCAGAATATTTAGAGTTTAATTTTTGCTCCTTAAATTCTTCGAAAATCTAAGAGAATTTCTGCCTTTTCCTTTGGTTTGAGTTGAAGGAGTACAAATATTTATACAGCTTTAGACACTACTCTGTACTTGACAAAGATTGCCTCATTTTATGCTCACCACAACACTGTGAGGAAGATTATCCCATTTTATGGGAGAAAAAACAAAGTTTGGCAGTGCAGTAACTTGTTCCAGAAGGCAGATGGCAAGGGGTGAAGCCAGAGCTCTCATCTACACAGCAAATGGTGGAGCCATTTTCTTCTTCACTCTCATGCTGTGGTAAGGATCACCGAAGCTAGAGGCCCATCTGAGAATGGTTGAAGAACTACAGTGGTGTAGGAGACCCAGCACTTAAGGATGATGTGGCTGGCTTAAGGAATAATGTGCTATGAGATTTCTCAGGTGCTGTA